TGTACATATGTGTATGTTGGTGGGGTGGGACAGCTGCTGTCGCTCACTTAAGTTAATACGCAAACCAAATGTCACTCAACATTATCAACAGCAAACGTAATCAGTTAAAACTTTTTCCTGCCTCTCCGCCACTGTTGTTATGGGCCTAAACCATCCCACAGACCGACAGACTGAATGACAGACAGTGGTTGTTATTGTTGTTGCCGCTGTGCAAAAAGTTGGCAACATGTTTGTACTTTATTTCAATTTTGTATGTCCTCTACTTGACTCCGCTCCGACAAGCCAGCCAACGTTGTGAGTGCTCAAAACAAAGGGATGTGGAATAGCATTTTACCACGAATCCTAGATGTTCTGTCCTTGAACATGTGTACTATCCAATCCAATCAGTTGCCAATCAACTTTACGTTAACTAAAAACATGAGTTTTGTACCCTTCACATATTGCTTGGAGCCGAAAGACAGAAAGAGGTATAACACCTATCAAGGAACCCATGATGTACTATCCCTACCATTCGGTTTTCAATCGACTTTTCCCTTACCAAAGATGTGTTTCCACACATAACATATTGTTTTGACCCGAACTGAAGGTCCCCCTAAAAGTCAGAGATATATAATACCCACTAAGGAACCAATATGTGTACTATCCCTACCAATAATTTGTTTTAGATATTTTAACCCCACCAAAGAGTTTTAGATCACCTAAAGGATAGAAAAATTTATAATACCCATCACAGAACCAAAACTCTCCATCGCTTTCCCATCGACTGTGCCCTATTCCCTGGAAAAATATTTTTTTTTTATTTGGTTTCACTTTTCGGTGAATGAAAAGCGAACACAGAACTGTAGGCTGAATGTCTAAATTTTGCTTTGGAGGGCCGCAACCTGATATAGTCCTTCTGCCGTCGGAACGAGCTTGTCGTAAGTGCTCGCGGGTTTTTGCATATTTTTGGGCAACTCGCGTCACTTTGCAAAACTGCTAACAAAAGGGGGGCAAAAAGGGCAAAGAGGGGTTTCAGAAGCGAAGTGGCGTGTGTGGGCCACTTGACAGCCGTTTAAATGCATTAAAAAATTACCTACTCTAACATGAGCAATGGAAAAGGAAAAAAGCAGCGGCAAACATGTCAGCCGCCCAATTTCACATGTGACAGAAAAGCGGAAGCGGGAGAAAGCGGGAGAAAGCGTGAAGGCCCACGTGGTTGTCACGCTCAATGGCAAAGTAGGGAAAAATCAAATCCACTGCAACTGGCGTTCGATCCAAAGAGGTCAGCAGCGAAAATGGGATTCGTTCTGGGGAGTGGTGCACTTTTTCCAATTTCTATTGAACAAGCTTCAAATTTAAAGAACAGGACTTCCTGAGTTTGAAGACCTTTCCATTCACATTCGAACTTTCATAACTTGAACTTCCTTAACGCGAAACAAAACTTTCTGGCAATAGCGACCTCATTCAATACAATTCTGTCTTAGTAAGTAAAATTTCATTACTCAAATTTCTCTATAAATTGAAATAATACGCAAATAAGTGGACTACATGGTATAGGTATATTTTTATTTTTTACGAATATCAAAAATATTATTAATTGGTTTTTAATTGGACAAAAGTTCTTGTTCTAAGAAATGTGTCGTCTACATCCCTATATACTAACATCCCTATATATACTATAGATGACACTCGAAAACTGTGGTTTCAAAAACAGTTCATAATTAAAAAAAGCCCAATAAATACATAACTTTGGTTTTAATAATTAAATTAAAAGCTTATTATTTCTGTAGAACCACAAATCCTTTTCACGACAGGTTCATCCTTTTTGTTAGGATATCAAAAGAAAACCGCAACGGGAAAAACTCAACGGGATGCCGAGAACTGAAAATTACGAACCTGGGTGACTGACAGCGTCCGACATTTTTTTGTTGGCGTTCCTGTCCTCTACTGGGTGCAAAAACGCATTACGCATTCACTTTGCTCAACACTTGTGTTCATTTTATGCAGCCTATCCCAGCCCCGCGTTTCGATCCCATTACCACTGCTCGCTTACCACACTCTGTTTTTGGTCTGTGTACGTTTGTTCAAATATTCATTGCGAATTCCAATTAAATTTTCGCTTAAATTGGCAATACCAACAGCGAAATCTGTAGTTGATAGCCGCTCTAAAGTTTGTTTTCTTTAAAGCCGTTTTTCATTTTACCTGGTACTCTCAGAGAGTATTGTTGTACGAAATAAAAATACTTCTGTATTTTTAAAACTATTTCACGAGGTTTGAAAGGGTAATATTTAACTAGGGAGATGTTTTTTAAGGCTAAATAAATGATTTAATTTATATCTACCTTCTTGATTAGCACCAGCCATATCAATTCCAACTTTTAAAAAATCATTAGATAAAGATTGAAATAAATAACTAATAAGATAAAGTTTGAGTAAAGGTGCGAAAAAGAAAGTTAAGGTACTTTAAGCCATTTAATTGATTATGAAGCTTGTATGTATTTTTTTAAAGTAACTTTTTCCGGTTTATTTGACACTGTTATTTATATGCGTTAATATCTTTATTGTCTCCCAATATAACGTATTAAAGGATGTTTTTTGTTACCAGTTTGGCTCTAAGAGCTTGGTATGCTAAATAAAATGGTCCCATGCTGGGACTTTCTCCGCCTTATTGCTTTAAGATTTATGTCTTTGAATTGCATCCTACATTGGCTGATTTGGGCCAACTTGGTGTGGACTAACTTGGCATGAGTTCTACAACTTCAATAAATGGGCACACGCTGCGTATGAGCCATATTTCAAATATGTATATCCGAAAAGTGGCTATTTTTCTTAGTGTTATAGATTATTTTAATAAACTTTTCAATAAATTTTGCAAGGTTGTACCAATCAAGAAAAAACTTCTTAAAAGTCAACACTAAATAAAATATTTGCTAGGGCTAATCTAGTGATTTTGAGTTCCCTTTTAAGGCCACCTCAAAAGGTCAAATGACATCGGAAGGTCAACGCTTTCTCCTTACTTATAGAAATCAAATAAACCTCACAATATAAAGACAAAAAGCACGGGTAATTTTTTCTTGGTCTGTCGAGTTGATTTTTAGTTGTGGCACTGGCTGACAGAAAAAATGAACAATAGAAAGGCAGTCGGAAATAAAGAATATCCACAAGTTATCGGTCCCAAGCTTGACCTGGAAATTTGAGGACCTTATGTCTGAAAGCATAAAAGAAAAAAGATCAATAGCCCATTTCTCAATTTTTTTTCCAATAAAATGGTATAACTATGTACCAAGCAAAAACCTAAGATTACATTGTATTAGTCTGCTTAACTAGCTTGCACTTTTCATTCCAAACTGGTGTTGCAAATGTTTGCAATTATTTACTTACTTACTTCCAGAAAGGTGAAATTATGGCTTGTGTAAATCCTATTGATAAATCCCTGGCCTGCACGTAATATGGAAATTAAAACACAACTCCAACAAAGTGCAGTCCGCAAATGGGCAAAACTTCACATTCACCCACGCATTAACTGAGGGTGCAAATGCTACCTTACATGCACGAAGGACATGCAACATTGTTTTCATTTTTACAGCCTTCTGGAGTAACTTACTTAGCAAAATGAACACGCCTTTGGTATGTCTATGGAGCGGGAAATTCGTAGACCCTTTTTTCGATTTTAAAATCTGAAAATGCTGAGCAGAAAATCACACATATCTAAGGATGAAATGTATCTGCAATTAAATTTGTATATCTCTAAGATAAATAGGGATAACAACATTTTCTCGAAACAGAGTTTAGGTTTCCTTATAAAGTACGTGTTCTCTGAAGCCAATTCTAATGATGTCCTGTGCAATCCTTTCCTGCAATCCAAACACAACAGCAGACATTTGTGGTCAGACGTTTAGTTAGGCTCCCTTAATAGAAAATGTGGACAGTTACGTTTCTGACCCAAGAGCCTAGGAATACTTCTGCAACCCCATTGTATGGGGAATGGAAAATTGTTACCTAAATATCGCAGACTCTTCCAGAACCGAGCATCCGTTTGCAAATGTTTCAAGTTTAAAATGAGCGTGTAATTAGAAATGTAAAGAGGGTAATGAGGAAAGCAGGGAAAGATGGGGAAAGTGGGGAAAATGGGGAAAACTGGAGTCGAGTCAGCTGCAGAGCAAAAGTCACTGCTGCGTCGCGTCCTCAGGAAATGTCCCACGCAAAAGGAGGAAAATGGCGAATAAAATTGAAATAAAGTGGTGCAAATGCAAAAACGTGCACATACCCAGTCACCTCACCGCAAAAGTGCACCATGCCACACACCGGTCCTAGGAAGTTTCTGGCCCCCCAACAATGAGTAGCATAAAAAGTTATGTATAAAAATCTTTCGCTATTTTTTGCTTGCACTTCCGTTACAAGGCGAACAGAATTTGCATGTGACATTTGTGGTTGAGTTTTTGTTGATGGATGAGGGTAGACAGATATCTTTGCATCAGCAACGTCTGCTGATAAAGCAATAAACCAGGTTTTATATGCGTGTTTGAATTAGAGATACGGAGACATGCATTCATATTTAAATAAAATGATTTGTTAGTACTTGGTTATTTTCTTTTAAGGTGGAAAAGTGTTAGGTAAAGAACTTTAAGGAATGGTTTTTAATGTATACTTTTATTAATAGTTAAAATAGTTATGCTAGTTCTATAGATTTTATATTCGTCTCTTAATATTGTTTGATTTCAAATCTACTAAATTCTAGAATATTTTGACATTAACTAATTTTTTCATTTTTGTTTAAGGTAAATCAACTAAAAGAATAAGCAAGAACGTAAGTAAATTTAAGTAAACAGTCAAAACCTGAATTTAGCTACCACAATTATTTTTATAATAGCAGTCAAAACCCCCAACACCATGTTTTATTAAATCGATCGAATAACACAATGTACATTTACAATTCTTCCATCCTTTTGGTAAATATATAAATAGTAATATTTCTGTTTTTTAATATCACATTGAGGAAAAAATCCCTAAAATACACTTACCACTTTGTAACCCCCAATTAAGTTGTATACACTTTAATAGCCAAACATCCAATAACACGACGGCAAGTATATGTTGTTTAATTTGCTGTATAATTCAATTTGCTTTCACGGGTAGCATATGCGATATTTACTCTGCTCATTTATTCAATAATAAATATAAATTTGTATTTCATATTTTTCCTTGTAACTGTGTTTGCGGGTATTTAATGATCTGCTGCACCTCCTGGTCTACTCGGTTGTATTACACATTGCATTAGGCACTACATTAATTCCTGATGTTTTTGTTGTATTCTTTTTTTTTTGTAATTTCGTTTATGCTGTTTGCAGAATTAATTTATAAAATATTTAAAGAACGACGCGCCGCAAGCTTTTATTTTTGGTTATTTCTGTTTGTGTTGTTTTTTATTCCATGAATTATTGATGGCGTTTGTTTTGTATTTTGTTATTCATTTATTACTTTTGATAATATTTTTTGCAGACGCTGTAAAACATAAATGCACAGTGATGTTTAAAAAGGATAAGGAGGGTGATGTTGCGCAGCCCATATGAATTAAGGGACGCGATAATAAACATGCACAAACACAATAAATTTTACATTATAAACAGCAAGAACAACAAAATGTACAATTAGCAACAGCAAAAGCATACATTTTCGGTTAAGAGTTTAAAATGGTGAAACAACAGCAAAATCGCGTATACGCCACGTGGACGCGTGATAATTATGGCCTTTGGGCACGAAGTGTAGGCCACAGAAAATATCTTAAAATTTTTTCCTCCCCACTCCCCGGAAAACGAAACGTTGAAAGCGAAATGTTTTCAGCAAGGACATGAACACGAGGTGGCGGGGCAAGGTCTGTCAATAGCTAAAGTTGGCTGACGAAGCCAAAAACAAAACACTGGCTAGATGGCGAGAAGACGCAAAGAAGCCAAGCGCAGCCTTTTGGCAGCTGGAAAAACATATATGTATGTACATGTGTCTATGTGGGAGCTGTCTGGGTTAGTAAAAGGCAAACGCGCAGGAAAAGGACTCTGGCTAAAGCGACAAAAGGAAAATCAAGCCAAGAGCTGAGCAAAAAAAAGGGCAAGCAAAACAAAGTCGAGCGGATGATGAGACCTGACTGGCCCAGAAGAAAATGGAGAGAAAAGCGGCGAAAGCTCGGATAAAAATGATACAAAAAGGTTATACCTCACCCATTAAAGGGGAAGTGTTCATTTTGGCTGCTCAGTATATACTCCTTTCTAGGTGGAAATTATGATATCTTGTCTTGATGCAGTTATTGCTTTTAGAGTAGCCTAAATTTAGAGGTGTATCATATAACTCTTCATCTTGAGTAACCAATGCAGACAATTATGTGACACTGAACAATTATGGGTCAGTTATTGGCCATCTTTTTTTTTCCATTGTCACATTTCGGAAATCCTCTTTTAATGTGATTTATTGATTGGAGGTCGAACTTTATACGTCCCACTACCTCAGGGCCTGTTCTTGTAATATAAAAAAGGCAAAGAAAACGTATTTGTCATGCCTTCTATCCTGTTATCTTTCCATCTTTCCTTCCCTGGGTTCCTCTCTGTTTAGCTATATAGTAGATATATATATATATATATATTCCATGATGACTTTCCTTGTGTACGCCCGACTAGGTTTTTGCTATTTACACACGCCTACATGGCGGGTGGCGAACCTCAACCTTCAGAGGCCATAATATCTTCTACCCGCCAGAATGGCTGCGTCGCCTGTTTTATAATTTTCACAGACGTCGCCCTCGCAATCTCCCACTCTCAAGTGCCCTGGGTTGACACTCGCACATTCAAACACTTCATAAAAAAGCCGCGCTTGTGCCCATTATTTATGTATATTTTCACCTACATTTATTTTATTTATGGAAGGGAAAACGAATGGAGACAGTAAAACTAAAAGGGAATGCTGTGAGTTAAGATGGGACCAAAAGCCTTAGGGAGAAAACATCAAAAACACCAGATGAAAACGGAAGAGGATAAGTTAAACACAAAAAACATCCATGGAAATAAAATGCCTAAATGGAAGAGGATAAGTTAAACACAAAAACATCCATGGAAATAAAATGCCTAAAATAAGCCTAGATATTGTCTGCAGAAAACAGGAGCTATTAATCAGAGGCCTATTTTTATTGCAAAATTCAAAAAGCTAGGCAAAAACAAATACAAATGTTTATTTTGGTCTTTTTTTTTAGTCGAGAAACATAAAAGCCTTAGTTAAACAAGCATACCGTATTCTTTTTGCAAATAAATCAGTATAAATAAGTCATATAAATTTAATTATAATAATAAAAAACTGAAAAGCAACATAAACAGTGCTATAAACCAATTTCAATCGAAACATTTTCAATAGACCAATAAATCAATCGGTTTTTATTTTTAAAAATTGAATTTATCAATTAAAGATTTTTTATCTTCATCCGAACTCAGCGCCAAGATATAAATACAAATAAATATTAAGTAGATATGTATTTGTGCCATAATAAGCATATTTAATAGAAGCTGTGCCAGCAGTCATGATGCATTTGCATATGTGTCAGGGCATAAATATATAGAACGCAATTTATATATGCATCTAGTTAAAGTTTTTCCTCTTTTTGGTTGTGTCATGGTGGGTGGGGGATGGGGGGGATGGGGGAGCAGCAGAAGGAGGGGTCAGAGGGCACGTTGGGATGAAGCCTGCACTTGTCACGCCTTGTCTTCTTCTCATTCACCATGTCTATGTGTGTGCGGCGCTATTTGCATGGGGGCGTGCGTGTGTGCGGTTTGGCCTCGTTGAAAATGCAAAACAAAAATACAAAAAATGAGCAAGCGAGATAAATAAAAAGGACAACAGTGGGGTAAAAAGGACGAGTCTAAGAAGGCAATGCCCGTGGCATTTTGAGTTTGCCCATAAGTGTCTGTGTTTGTGGATGTTTACTTCTGTGTATGGATTTGACGACATTTGCTGTATTGTAAACTCCGAAACGAGATTAGATCACACTACTGTGGAGAGATTTATTGAGAGAGAATTCTTTAAAATTGCCCCGCTATTGTGTTACTTAAATGTCTTGTAGCTAAATTTAAGGATTGCAGGAACTAGGTCTTTAAAATATTTTAAAGATTATTTTATGAATAAATTACTAGGAAATGGGCGTATAATCGTAACTTGTTTTGTGGATTTTTAATGTACTCGATAGTTTTTATGAGCTTTTAAAGAAATTTATAAAAGAAATCATTGTTTTGATGATTATAAAATTAGCAGATTACAATTTCAAATTACTTTCTTTTTTATATATTTTTTTTTTAATTAATTAACATTAAATCATGATTTTTTATAAGTATTTATTAACAATTAAATTATAGAATTAAATAAATATGTAAACCATTTTTTTGTACTATTTTTTTGAGCACATCTACTTATTAATATCCTCGAAAGAGAAAATTATAACATTAATTAGTCATCTCCCCACTTTCCATCTGTGGATTCTCAGCCTTCAAAGTTAGCAAAAAGTCAGGGCCGCTTGAGGAGTTTTAAAGCACTCGTAAAAAAACGAGTTCAGAGTTACGGAGCTTGAACAGGGCATTGTATCAAAATGAAGCGTAGAAAATAAAGGTTGAAAATAATCAATAATAAAATAAAGGAGTTTCCCGAAACTTTGGCAATAAGTGGTTTCGGGCTTGGTTTTCCCCTGGGGCAGGCTCCGAAGCTTTCGGTTAATTTTGATGCTATACCTAAATGCCCAGAAAAAGTTGATATAGCAACAGATGCAGCTGGCGATAAAAACAACTTTTGTGTGAATATTTCTTTAGCTTAAATATTACATTAACCCCTGCCTAAGCTGGCCACTCCTTCTTAGCCACAACGGGGTAATGAACTCAATGCGCGGGAGTTAGCCGGAGGCGGGAAAGCCCACGTTAAAGGGGTAGGCTAAAACCAGTTAGGAAAATATAAGCGAGAGTCACCGAATATATAATACACTTCCTACTAATCTAAAAAGTTATAAGGATATTTTGTTCTAGCTCAATATATGATAGCTTTTAACCACATCAAGCCCATTTGATAAACCTTGACATAGTGGTATCTGGTTTTAATATTCTAACACCATATATGATAGCTTTTATTACAGAACACCCATTCTTAAGATGATGTCACGCCTTGGTCACCCCTATATGGTTATATTCTGGAAGTCTGGATTGGGATAATCCATATTCCTTCATCCCAAGTTAGGGTATAAATAACAGGCCGCCGCCTGTAGCGATTGGCCGCACAAATGGAGCGTTTCAGGCCGGCAGCTGCAGCTGTATCGAAAAACAAGCGCCTTCGCACGTGTACGTGGCTATATGTTCTATGGGTGTCAACAATTGCACAGCTGGGCACACACAGCACCCACACACACACACCTAAACTAAGATGCTGGCCAAGGAAGCTGCGGAAGTGGAAGAAATAATGGCTGTGGCGGCTGAGAGAATCAGCAGTTGCCGCACTCACACATAAAACTTATAGTAAGTCCATGGGTGGACAACTTTAAAAGGTTCAGTGCTAACAGGAAGAAAGGACCCCCGAAGTAGACACGGTCATAGGTCAGCGTTTAAAATGTAATCAACATTTTTATGGGTTCTTTCACATCTAACTTAAACTGCAGACCACTGTGCGTATGAGTAATGTCTGTTTAACAGGTGGGAGTTCAATCGAAAAAGTAGTGGCTGCCATTTTTGGACATAGTAAAACTATTTTTATGTTTTCTTGCTGTTTAAATTGTACATTTTTATAGCGCTCAATTGAAAGCCACTCGAAATTGCTTAGTTAAGTGAAGAAAACCAAGAAAGTCTTCTATCAAACTGAATCACTTTGTTAGTCCAACTTAAGAGGCTATAAAAACATCTTATAAAGCCTTAAATTAATGCAAATAAAAGAGCAACAAAGAAAAAGCGACAAATAAAAATGCAAAACATAAGACAACTTTAATATTAAATTAATGGCAGTCCAAAGCGGGAATGCTTTCAATTTGGAAAATGTTGTAAAAAGCTTTTGCGAATCAGCATTATTAAAATGAGTTGGTAATTAATTGCATTTTCCGAAATACTTTTGCTTTCCATCAGCAAGATGTTGTCGAATTTTTTTTGGAGCACAGAACTTTCACTGGAATCACAAAACACTGGGGGGGGGCACTGGGGGACCGTAATGGCGGAGGGGCTTTAATTCTCTTTGACGCTCGTCAAAGTTACGGGCCAAAAATGTATCAACACCCGAAACGTCGGGATGGCAGATGCTATATGGGTATATGGGTATGGGTACACGGGTGTATATATATATATGGGTTTGGCCAAAACAAGTGATGCAGGATCTGGACCGAGAGGAGACCGATGACGCCGATGACGAAAACTCGTAGCACAAACACGGAGGAGGCGACAACAAGGACGACGCGGTGGGTGAACGACGATAAATGTTTACAAAGCGGCTACTGCCACACAACTGAAGCGACAGGATGCATTGGCTGGCTGGAACAGGCGGCTGTGGAACGAATGGAATTGGAGCAGTCAAAACACGACTTCGGCTTTTCCGAAGGACTCTTCATGGGTTGGATGGCGATGGTAATGGTGCGGGGCTTTTCCGAATTAGGTGGTAGTGGGGTTTATTTCGGGAAAGGGGTTTGGGTTTAGTGAATTCGCCGGCCGAGGTTGGTGGGTGCCCCCAGCCTTTTCGTTTTTTTTTGGGGTTGGTCGTGGGGAATTCGCTTCGACGGCTAACTAACCTACCGCAAAAACTCTGACTCTAGAACTTGTAAACATAAAGATAAGAAAACAGCCAAATGAATTATTCAAACTTGCACGAATATAGTTGGTTATCCTGCGCCTGCGCCAGGACCTCACACATATAGTTTCGTCCTAGGACGAAAAGGCCTAGACTAGAAAATAGGCCTAAGCGAATCAACATTAAGCAGAAGTGCAGCCCACACACGCCGCTTGAGTTGCTGCCAAAAAAGATGGGGAAGTGGGTGGTGATGGTTTATAGGTGGGTGGTGGGTGGTTTTAGGGGGTGGCACCACCCCACTGGGTAGAAGTGCTGAGGAGGCAAAAGTTTAGAGCACTTTGCGGAGTATGCAAAACCAAAACAAAGGCAAATTAGAGGCAAAAACAGAAGCCAAAAGCACATGGGTCTCTTCGCAATTGCTTTCTCTCTTTTGCTTTCTATATTTCTCTGCAGAACTCTCTCTTTTGTGAAATTTCCCACTTGTGTTTGTGAGAATTCGCAGTTCAAAGTTATTAGCACAGCTATACTTAGAAACGGAAGGACTTACTAATTAATACATGACCAAACCAAACAAAATCTTGACTTCTAATTGAATTATTAAGAAGCAGGGTGAGTCTCATTTGATTAATGGTCTTACCATTAAGAAAATACCACCTTGATTTAAGACTTACACGATCTTTAAGTGCATAACGAAATTAAAATACCTTGAATCGCATGAAAGGTGATAATTACCATTGAAATGCCATGACTGCCATCCCGTGACATAAAATTGAAGAAGCTCTATATTTACCAACAAAAATTACTTTTGAGCAAGTAGCATGCAATCTATAATATAAGTGAAATGAAAGAAGTGAAAGTAATTCCTACAAACAGCTACATTTTCCAACCGGACCATTGGAAATCGTCAACAGCCCAAGGCGTTGTGCTTTTCGTGTGACATTTTTATAAATTACATAGTTAGAGTGCCCTTCAACAATTTTTGAAAATGAACCTACTATCCAAAGAAGAAATCACAACAAGAAAAGAAACATTGTTATAATTGAAACCCCAAATTTAAGGTGATTTATTGCACGAAACTTATTTTTCAGCTTCAGGATAAACATATTACAGGCTAATGAGATTTAGTACCCAATTAAGCAATCTAAAGTTTACATTTTTAAAGGTAGACCTCTTTTCTTCAGAACACTTGTTAAAATGTGAATAACGTTTTCCGAATTTCTTGCCACTTTCATAATGTCCTTTACAATTGAGTGAAAAGTCCCAGACGAGTCGAGTTAACTTAGACATTTTGTAAAAGCAGGTGACAGGTGAGAATCGTGACCCGCATGCGAAACAAAAACTACCTGGCACAAACATAAATACATACATCACCTGTTAAGGCATAAACAACGACAGCGAAAGCCCTGTCGAAAATGTACCTGCCCATGGAAATAAAAAAGAAACAGAAATAAACAAGGACTTTTTGCAAGAGTCATCTCCGGAAAGTCACTAATAACGATTTTTCAATAAATGCGAGTGCTGACCTTCCCCTTTTTGTTTTATCCCAGCTTGAGTATTTTCTTCCTTCGCCTTTCGCCTTCTTAAATATAGTTATTATGTTGGTTTCTGTATTGTGTTCTACTTCAGTTTCACTTTCACTTTTTAAGACTTTATTTTCACTTTTGTGCTGTTGTTTCCTGGAAACATTAAGAGATAAACTGTGGGGAAAAGTACAAATATGCAAGGTTATTATTGTAACGAAAATTTATTGAACAATATCAGATTATAATTCAAAAGTTATGGAGTCTTAGGAGATTCCCTAAACAAATTCCTATAACTAAAATGTTTTTCGTACATCGTTGTGCTGTATTTTTTAAATAGTGCTCTACGGTTAGTGCTCGATTGGTTATAACTTGAAAAAAAATATTTACTTACCCAACTTTCACCTTTTTAAATTAAGAGTATTTTTATTCATGGCATTGCATAAAAATAAAACCGAAAATTGGCTGCATGGGTACTGCCAAGAGACAAGGCAGGAAAAGAGTTAATCTGCGCTGAGCAAGCAAAATAATTTCCGATTTTTGCAGAAAGGCAGACACAGACTAATTAAGGAAGTGAAACATGAGGAATGCGTTGCGTTTCCTTGCCCAGGAAATAATCAAGTATTCCAAATGTTGCCAACTAATGGCGCATCACAAAGTGGGTGAACGCCTCGCGTCCTTCTAGACCATATATATTTTAGCTAATCCGCAGATATGCAGCCAAAAGCTCTTAAAAATGTTGAGTACTTTTTAGAGCTCTTAGACTTTTCAAGGCTTACATCTGCGCTTAATTATCCCGTCGTCGCTGGAAACCAATTACCTTCCCTCCCCATTACTTATTTAAGATCCTGGCCCGCTTTTCGAGGCTGTCTCATGCTAGATCGTTTTGGGCCTATTAGCCTTAATGGGACTATCATGCCTGACTACGGAAACTTTCCTCATATATACTCGTGTGTACATACTTTTCCAGCGAGACTGGCAGACATTTTTTAGATGTCCGACTTGCGCTGACCTTTGGTCTTGCAATTTTTTGCACGTCTTTGCAGTTTTCAATTATTTATGGCTTGTGGACGCCTTTGCATTAAAATTGCCCAAGCAGGCTTAACCAAGTCCATAACCACGTCCAGGCTGAAACGGGTCTAGCGACCAAATTGCCGTACAAAAATATTACCTCCATTGCATATGACTCACTCTCTGTGCTATTCTGTTTTCGACCCGCTGCAGTCTGTTCATGTAACCTGCAAAAATTGCTTTATTCCATGGCAATATATGAAGAGGTGAGAAAAAAGTTACGAATAGCCTTCGGGGCCTGGGAACACACAGGTCTTTCAGTCCTCAATGACTAAATTAGCATGTAAATATTTTCCAGCGGACTGGCAAAAGTTTATATTATGATGAATTTCATGTTTGGTTGGCACGTCACTGAAAATGGGCCTAAATCATGTAAGCCGTAACCTTAATTGGATTACAAAATAGTATATGTATAAGAAAATATTTTTGCAACACAAAAAACTTAAAAATACATTCTTAATCTGCCGAAAAGGAACTAAAATTTTAATTTTTGGAACTTTAAGCCTAGTCAACCAAAAACCATTAAAGATTACTTAATATCTTTTCTCACTTTTTGTTTAACTGATAATATCCACGTGTTGGTGGGGAGTACCAGAGACGGTTGGCCACAAAAAGCCATGAAATAAATTATTTCAAGATTCAATTATTGCTAATAGCATAGCCCAAATGGAAATCAATTCAATTCACTTGACAGGCAGACACAGCAGCACTCAGGGAGGACCACAGCGGATAGGAATAAGTTCAAGCCTCGGCGTCCTCTTGAACATATATACCAACATATATGCTGTGTTTTCAATGAACGTATATGTATTGCATGTGTGACGATTTAAGCTAATGCATAATTGATTGTAAGGTATCGACAAGACGATATCAATTCGCACATTACTGTGTAGCTTAAAGTCTTCTACTTTTTTTGGTATATTACTTAAACATATTTTATTGAACATACAATTGAATAATTATTTAATCTCTGTGGACGGAAGTCCACATAGTGACGAAGCGCACCAGGAGAGTGTAGGAAGGCGACTACTTTTTAGACATACCAAGTCTTTTAAAATTCTAATTGGCTATGCTCGACTCTACGATTCGATTCTATGATTAGACTCTATGATTCGACTCTATGATTCGATTCTATGATTCTATGAGCGTTATGCAGTGCATCGGGAAATTAACTCGTTCAGATTCATTTTCCATGGAAATCAGCAAGGACATTGCGCGGGATGAGAGTGGGAATCGGGATGGGGATGGCATACCTCTAAGACCATTTAATCCAGTCCTCTCCCAGACTCGCAAACATGTCCAGTTCTTTTCCGCTTTGCTTGTTTCTGTAGTTGACGGGCTTGCAAACCCATAACTTTTGTCAACTGCAGCCGTAACTCCCCGCCACGGCCACATCCCGTTCCCAAGGACCGAAAAACCACTCCCCCTAAGCAACCACAAAATATGCTCTGCGCAGGGAAAATTTCATTTTTCTTCTGGTTTAGTTTACTGCAACTCGTCGTAGTCGTCGTCGTCGTTGGAGTTCTTGCGTGGGCCGGGTATAAAGAATGGGTAAAGAAGATAAGTTTTTGCGGCCCAGGACTGGAGGCAACTTAACGTGTTGCAGCCGGGAAACAGAGCTGAGGCAGAGCTGCGGCAGCAGCAGAGTTAGAAGCAATGCCGGGGCAACGAAATTAAGAATTAGTATTCATGCCCCACAGTGTCATTTCCGCGAATGCGTGCGGGCGCAGAAGACTTGCAAAAAAAAAGAGAAAAATAAAAAAAGAAAAACTTTTCGAAAGCATTTCTTGATGGTATTCGGCGTGAGACAGAAGAGCACAGGCGATTGATATGCATACTATCAAAGGAAGGAGGTGGCTTGTGGGTGTTGGATGGTAAGTTCCAAATGTGTGACAAGAATACGTGTTAATGTGTGTATTTGTGTGGTGGAGGGTTTATTGCTCAACTTTTCATATAAATCCTTAATTATGACATTATTTTGCATATTATAAAGTTGCCAGGCCCCCGTAAAGACCACCCTCCCCCAGAAAATTGGTGCCAAAGCATTGATGGTTGGGGTGTTCAAAGGAGGCACCCTGCCGTCCACAGAATATGTGCAATAGAGTCCGATGCCACAA